TGGCTTCTAACAAACGGGTGGCGCTACAAGCTAAACTGTGATGTCATGCAAGCTGAAAACCATGTGTTGAGGGCTGCTGACCAGTAGGTCGCACGCGGCTACTGCACCCCAAAACCTACCTTGGTTGTGAATATTTGGTGTGTCCTTCACAAGCGGAACCATCAATATGCAAGGTGCTCCTTTGGCTTTCGCACGGCATGAACTGGCACTCCACAACTTACACCCACCCTCTCCCCGCCCGATCTTGGCTGTTCAGCTCGTTTGACAAAACCCCTACCAAATCCACGATCCTGACTGATACGCCAGAACCATTACTTCCGCGTGGCATGAGGGCAGGCAGAGCTCTTGGTTGGGACTGTGAAGGCCATCCTTGAAGCCGCGTGTTTGATGCCTGTCACATCGCAAGCGGCCTCCTGATCCCATCTCAGGCGAAATGTTCTGCCTCCATCGTCGACTTGTCCGGGCATGAATTTCCACCGGTGCAGAATTGTTACGACGTATAACTACCTGCCGCAGTGATCTGATTCTTGGCTTGACAGGGAAAGCGGCAAGAGTAGCCCACCCAGCTGCACCACCATTGCCACAACTCTCTTCACTGAGCATTCAACCTGGAGCAGTTGATTTGAAACTGTGCCGTTGAAAAACAGTGGCCAGTCTTGCTGAGTCGTCCACTTCGTTTCTAACTGCCTGGAATTGTGCGGGATTCACCCTGGTTCAGACGAAACCTGCATCGGGTTATTTGACCTCAATGTCCAGGCAAACTACCCGCGGGTTTGTGGGCTACAGAAAATAATCTCGAAGGCATGAGCAACATACACATGCAAACACAAATGCTGCAGGCTTGCCAATAAAATCAATAAACCCACACAAAATGAGTATGTATGCATGTGCTGTGTCAGCCCTTGTTAAACCTTGTTTGGAGGAAAGACAGCTACCTGGTTGTCAAGGAGTTAATCTTTGGAGCAGCCGCTCCTACGTGGCCCTGGGGTACATTTCCCAAGCACACACCAGCATAGCCCGTTTACGTCCCTTTAAAAGGTTGCTGACTTAAAAGGCATGCATTGTTCTGGGCGCACTCCCGAGGAGCAACATGAGTGATAACTTTCTCAGACGGGTCTCAAAAGGGTGCTGAGCACCATTCTGGGAGGAAGGCGTGCCCCTGTCCTGATGACATATTTGACTGAAGTGGTCTTTGGCTGTGTGTCCATCTGGGCCAAGGCTATTCTCGAAATCCGCAAGTAAAGAACCTTCATGAGGATTGAGAACCTGTTTTTACCCCCAGGTGAGCTCCACTTTGGAGAAGCCAACTCACTTTTCTCTTTCTGCAATTGGTACATTCATGCATATTCCATGCAAGTGGGTTTCCCGACAGTAGTGGATGAATTCTCCTTCGGACTTGCGCGTTACCTCACCGAAGGCTCAAGAGAAAAGACTCCGCTACAAGGCTGCGTGCCTCCTGCCCTCCCGAGTCCACGTGACGTTCAGGATAGGTCCCGCCAAGAGTAATGTGGGTCGGGGCCGTCATCAAACAGCTTGCTTACCGGGTATAAACAAACACCCTCTACCCCGAAGCTGCCCTGCGCAAAAACCTGCAACCTCCACATGGCATGTATCACAAAGAATGTCCTGTCAATCAGCTAGCACTTTGAGCTTCTTTCTGATTCCAATCCCGGGGTTTCGAACTTCAAACTTGTAGGTTCTAGGCGCTAATGCCAACTTCCAACTGAAAAGGAGGTTGCCCTTTGAATGAAGTTTCCTTGCGATTAGTAAGGTCTGCTAAATCAGTTGCATCCATCATCTGGCACCAGGATTTTGCGAATTGATGCTGAGCAATCCCACCCCACCAAAATCTGTTTGTTGTGGAAGTCTCCCACCAACCCGGGTGCTTGACACGGGGATTCTCCAGATCAGCTGGCACAAGTGACTTCTCTACTTGCCCCGATGTATCCTTCTAGGGGACAATTCAAAAACTTGCTATTTTCCCTGGGCTTCTGGAGGTTTTCGGGAAAGAAGGGATCCCTGGAAAGAATGGAAATGGAAAGAATGCGTCAGTCCGAAAACCCAAGGCTTTGCCTTTCACCTCGGAGGACTCTCAGCTCCTGGCCTCGTCGCCATGGTGTGCCCCCGACTTTGCCATGCCGTGCTTTGCCGCGGCGCGAAAGCGCGAGCGGCAAAGCGGCCAAGCGGCGCGTGGCCGGGTGTTGGTCGCACAGGCCGAGGTCACGGGCTCTCTTTGCTGCTTCATTTTTCCGGTGTTGGGCCGAGTCCATGGGATTCAACATTGGGTCATAGATGAAAAGGTTTTTACATAAGCCAGCCGTCGACATCACTGACGTAGGATCGTTGTGGTGTTGAATTTGTGCTTCATTTGAGGCTTCGCTGGGCTGGCACGGGTGTGACGCAGGATCGTCTTGCGCCCCTTTCAGCTTGAGCCACCGTTTAAATCTCAGGCTGGGTCTTCCATGCAGGCTTGGAAATTCCAACTCGTGCCATCGGAGGTTCGGGCATCTGAGCTCAGAGGAAAGGTGCAAACCTTCTCACCCTTTTCTCGCTCTCAGGAGCTTGATATTCCAGGGCTGTCAGCTGCGTACAGACCGGCGAGAATCCCTCCTTTGACAGGAGAAAGAGGCTCCTACTTGTGCATGCCAGTTCAGCAAAGGAATCATGAATGACCCCAAATGTCGCCATGTCGAGAGAGCGCCGGCCAAAGACAGCACATATCCTTCCTCAGCGTGTTGCAGCATCAAGCCAAGAAAGGGGCTTACTTCACCTTCTGCACGGATTCCGGAACCCTAGCCAAACATATTTCGCCTGCATTCGGTCGGCCTTGGTGGGGGTGCTTGCATCGATCGATCGAAGGTACACATGCCACAGTAAGCTGAAACATTCGGTACTGTGCGATATACCATGGTTCGGGCTGGTTTACCATAACCATGGCACAGGGTGTGGGCCTGTACAATAACTAATTCTGCACCTCAAGGCGAGGTTTGCCACGATAGAGTACTGGAAACCCTGCCCTGGGTGCAAGACTCCATATTTCCATTGGCCCATACAGGGTTACTCAGGTTTCAATTTACTGGTGGTTTTCATGAAAACTGCCGATTAAGGTTCCCAAAAGGGAAATCGAGGAAAACCCTGCCCCAGCCAAATCGAGCCCTCCTTTTGCGGATGTGAAGCTGCGCTTGCACCTTCGGAATTCTGGGCCCGGGTTGATTTCAACCGTCCTGGCTCTTGTCTGTGGACCACAACTCACGGACCCCGTTGGCAGTCCGATGTTTTTGTGTTTGCTAAGGAGACTATCGCGGCTTAGGCCCCAAGATGCAACGCTGGGGATACGTGCTTGCTGCCATCATGGCTGTGCAAAGTTGAACAAAAACAACTCAGGGGGACAAGGTGTAGAACCATCATGATTCTTCAACAGCCTTGGGCTGTTGAACTTGTAGACCCCACCAGGGCTTCCCAAATGATGTGGTCGACAGATTCCCTACGGTTTTCAGGCATTCACGACTCAGCCCTTTTTTGCGAAGCCAGGGCCCCTTCCAATCCGTTTCATGGGACCCTTTCCAACTCCCAGAAGGCCGCCAGGCCGCATGCTCACAGGAGCCATACGAAACCTTTGTGTTGCCCCATGGCTTTGTTAACACTCTTTGTTTCACATTTTCCAGATGGCAAAGATGGGTTCCCTACCCCTGGCCTCCCTTCCCTTCGCTCTTGCTCGAAGGCAGGGCAATCAGCTGACCATCGCTTTCAACACCCTGCGAAAAAGGGAATGACTCCTGTGGACGCACCCAGAAGGCTAGCACCCGAATGCACCCAGGGGCTCGTTGCCAGGTCCGAAGGCGTCTTTCATCTGCTGCACTTGCCCGATCGCCGCCAACCCAGGCGGCGATCTGCGCACAATCTGTGGGCGCGAGTGGCAGCGGGGAACCATGCTCAGCCAGCTTACTTTGTTGAAGATGGAACCAAAATGGATCCATGTGCAAGGGTTTGCTAGTGGAGGAAAGCTGTCAACAGAGCAACCCGCAGGGTCCTAACTACATCAATACCGGCAACCAAGACTCCCCCCCTCGCTCCCGCGAATGGTAGGCGCTTCCTCGATCTCCCTTTTGCCAAGCACCGACTATCACTCTGGCTGCATGAATTACTTCTGCTCGGGTCAATGGTGTCCCTGCCACTATCTCCACACCTTTTTGACTCAAACCGATATTGTCGCATTGCACGCATGTTCAGCTCAGCCAATACTAATTCCATCATCATCATCATCATCATCATCATCATCATCATCATCATCATCATCATCATCATCATCATCATCATCATCATCATCATCATCATCAACGTCGTCGTCGTCATCATCATCATCATCATCATCATCATCATCATCATCATTTCCTAAAATAAGTGGATGCGAACCCCCCAAAGTCGATTTACTGTTGGAATTTATTTCAACACACCATCCAGTAGAATCTGGGCACGCTCGCTTGGTCGGAACCTCCAAACACATGTTTGAAGAATTGGGGTGTCAAAAGTTGCGGCTTTCCTTTTGGTTTTAACGGTGAAAAGGCTACCCTCCAAGCAAATAACCCCAAGTCGTAAGGCACGGGACACCACAAAAAAGAAAAGACCGGCGCACATCGCTTCACTCCGCCTGCCACGTGTTCTGAGATGCGAAGACTGGATGCGTCTCTGAAGGGGTCGATCTTATTGCATGAGACATGCCCAGCGCCCTGGGCTGAAGCCACGTCTTTGAGCTGCGAGTCTTGGCAGACTTTGCGCAAGGCGGCAAGGGTCCTTCTTCCGCTGAATGACTAAACCACATTGCAGCGCCAAAATTTCGGTGAGAAATATCATCCCCGGCCAGGGATGCCTTTTTGTCTAGAGTAAGAGCAACCCCCACGCTTTGTACTGACTAGATGGTTCATCAGGGCGAATTTTCAAGGCTACCCAACCAATGGGTTCCACGTACATACGCGCGCGCCTTCGGCCTTTGCTTTTTTTTTCCCCCGCGCTAGATCCTCTCCAAAAGCGGGCCCAGGCCGAAGGCTGAGCCGTCTTGGAGAACCCAAGCCGCCTGAGCCGGCTCGCTCGAGGACCCCCATCGATCAAACCCCCGCTTGCAAATGAGGAAATGCAAATTAAATCAGCGCCTGGGGCAAATGCAACAAAACTGATCTGTTTAGAACGCCTTGCTCTAGGTGCACAATGGTTTATGCCCAGTTGCAGAATAGGGTGACTGCTGCCGGACTCTTGGGGCTCAGCTTGTCAACTGGTACTCTCCACGGCTAGGCCAAGAGCCCCCCTGCCAACATACTGTCTTCGGCGCGTGCACAGAAGAATCCTTGCCAGAAGGAAATGGTTTGTCTTCCAAAGGGGTCGAAAGTGCACCAGACCCTGTTCGGTGGGAGCAGCCCAAAGAAAATATAACATCTCCAACAACACTCCATCCAACAATGCTGGGTGTGGAGTGCTCTTGCCATACATTCCTGCTAACCAGTCGAATAGCTGCAGCCACCTGGAGAGCAGCAATGCTGTGCGGTTCACCGGCACCAGCTATTGCAAACCACTTGGTGGAAGTAAACAACTCCTCAAAAAAGGATCTTCCTCATAGGCGAGTTTGCTTGCTCGTGTTTTCCCTGGGCGATTTTGCCATGAGCGCAGGCTCAGGCGTCGTACCGTATTCACTCGCGGGCAAGCTCATTGTTGAAAGGTGGAATCTACCTAAATGTCAGCACGGGCGGCAGTCAATTTTCTTGAGCCAGTATCATGTCGGTACGCCACTACCTATCAACACCCCCCGCTTTGCAGAGGTGCGTTGGTGAGAACAGTACTTTGTACATGTTTCCCCCCCAGGCCTGAAGCAAAGTCCTCTGAGGTCGCGACAATGAAGACGTTGAGCCTCAGTGTGATAAGTGGCAAGCCATGGTGGTTTGAGGCCTGTTGCATCAATGGCCGCTACAACTGCAATGCATTTGGTCTTTTGCAGGAGCATGCCAATCGAGTCGGCCGACCACGACTTCCGTCGGGCAATACACATGCAATTTTCATGTGAATGCTTGAAACTGAATTCATTTTGTTGCCGCAAACGGAGGTGATCTCACGACCACAGCTTCCGCTGGGCGAAATCGAAATGATAGCCGGTGGTGGCGGCCGTGGATTGACCTACGGCCGCAGCTTCCGCCGGGCGTGCAAACTCGGCACAGCTAATGTTGCGGCATCAATGGATGAAAGATAATAGTTTTTCGAACATGACATCACCAATGAAATTTGAAAAGGTTACCGCAACAAAAGCTAAACTTTTCGTGATTGGTGCGGGTGCTCACCATCCCCACGGGCCCTGACGCCACTGATCCCACCCATAGGACCACCCGTAATTCCAAGAGCTCCAGTCCTGGCGCCCCTTGTTCTTGCCTTTGCCCTTGCCCTTTCCCTTGGCATAGGGCTCGGGGCGGATGGACCGGGTGATTGCCCTCCACTGAGTGTTCCTCGCCTCGACAGGATAGGTTCTTGTCCGGCCGGATGAGAATTGCGGGATCTCCAGTTCGCCTGTGCTAATCGTTCCTTGGGAGTCGTACTTTACCCAGGAGGTACGAATAAAGCTGATCATCACCTCCAAGATGTTCTCGACGCTCCCTTCCGGGACGTATGCTCCGCTGTGCCCAATGATAATAGGCACCTGCTTGCCGGGAATGAAACGATAGGCACACATGACCGCAAACTGCATGATGGTGTAGAATCTCGCATGGTGCGCGATGAAAGCCTCCGTTGACACGTTCAACTCGTGGGGATCGCGCTTGTTGGGGCTGGGAATGAACACCAACTTCGTGCCAGTGTTCTGAGACCCTCCCCGATCGCGCTCCTCCCGTGTGCGGCCAGGGTCTGCAACGATCGCTCGGGCGATCCTGCCTAGGAAATCCAGGCTTTCAGGAGTCAACCCTTGCGTAGCGCAATTATAGGCATAGAACGGGTCGACCGAGAGGCGGTCGGACACCTTCTCGCAGCCCATTGCCAGCGCTTTGGTCAGATGCGTCTTTGCCGTCTTTCTGAGTGACGCCTCGACGGAGATTCCTCCCCGCTTGTCGCCTTCCTTGGCGTGATGCTTGGAGCGGATCCACTTCCCACCGCCCCCCTGGAGGTCTTCCAAGTAGAAGACCATGTTTTGGAGAGACGCGGTGTGCTCAAGGCGCACAACCTCGGTGGCGATCCGGGCATCCGTCCACTCGACCATATCTGATCGGCATTCCTGACACAAAAGGTAGCCGTCGATCTGCTGGTTGCCACACCTCTTGTTCCAGCACTTCACAACCGGGATCTTCATCATGGTCGTGAAAAAGAGGTCTTCCCACTTTGGCTCGTTCTGGTAGCGGCTCCGAAGGTTGTTCCAGCCGCGACCATGCCCTTTCTCTCCCCTGGAGAGCTCGGGCACCCGTCGAAGGGTTGCAGGCGCAACCTGGTATGTCGGCCCTGCAGGTCTCTCATTCGACTTCCCCTTCCGGGGAGCGAGCTCATCGATCGTGGCAATCTCAGTCACGGCACCAGGAAGCAATTTGCCGTTCTTCGTCCCCTCAACGACAGTCCGCCAATGCCTCCAGGCCTTTTCTGCGGTCAGGGTGTTTTCACTTCTGAAGAAGTTCGGATTGGCGTCCTGGGGGCTGGCGTGAGCTCGGATGTCAACGCTTCGCGGTACCTTTTGCGGAGCTCGGGGTACGCACGATTGAAATAGAGGAACTCATTCTGGCGGGTATGGAAAGCGTAAATAATATATGCATTTCCAACCCAATCGGCAGACATAAACGCCTCATCGCTCGTGAAGAGTCAAATGCCGTCTTGCATCATGAGCTCCGTATCGAAAGCAACCGTGACGGGCCTTCCGGCTCGCGTTCCCGCCAGCTTCCTCATCTGTGCCTCCCAGGGTGGCGTGGGGTTGAAGTAGACGTGGGCTCTGCCTGTCGACTTCGGATAGCCCCCCGGGACCAGGCCAAACTTGATGATGCTCTCGGCAGACCTGAGGTCACAGGTATGGTAGAGAACAGCAGGGAAGCCCCTGCGCCAGAGATCCGTCTGCTCGGGATGCCGTACCGCTCTCGGGTATTGCCCGCCCAAGTACTTTGCCGCAGTGAACTCTTCGTCAAAGGAATACAAATTCGTCAGAATCGCCTGCTCAGTGTATTTCCTGGTGAGCTCGTTGTGGTGTCCTTGCACGGCCCTCACCCGCAACGCCTGATACGGCAATCCTTTCCAGGATGCTTCCCCCAATGGAGGGGGTCCAACCATCACGCGGAATCTCCGGGTATTGTTATTCCGGATGCAGATCATCACCTCCCAAGGCATGACATTGGCAATCCGGTCGTTCAAATGCCTGACCAGTGCATCGAACTCCACCGACAAATCGATTCCACGGAATGGTGGGTGTGGTTTCCCGTCTTTGAATGCCCCTCCCCGGAGGAAGTACGACATCTTTTTCGAGATAGCCACAAGCCTGTAATCGCGGTCCATATTGACCTTGGGGACATGCCCCATATCCTCAACCTCGAGCCACTCGCACTGCTCCTCGGCCGGGATCTTCGTGTTGATCTTCCGGGTTTTGGCCCAGTCCTCCCAAAAGATCTTTTCCTGCTTCGGGTCCTTCTGCTTCTTCGACCGGGGTTCCCCCTCGGCGTTGCCAGGCGGCGCTTTGGCCTTTGCAATCCTCGGCATCGCCTTCACCTGGGGCTTGTCGGCCGAACCGGCAGCCGTGGGGTCCGACTCGTCTCCAATCTCGATGAAACCAGTCGACTGGGGTTCCCCCACAGCGCTCTTGGCAGCAGTTCCGCGCCTTGGTGGCGGCGGAGTTGGCGGTTGCTTGGATGTGCTGGTGCCCTCCGTCACGGACTCAAAAGCGACCGACTCCGCGGTGATCATGGAACTCATCCCTGCCGCCTCGGATTCATCAGCTTCTGACACCAGTTCCAATGACACAACCGTCTCCTGGTCGAACAAATCTCCTTCCGCGATGATGATCGACTGGCCTTCCGGCGCAGCGCGGTGCACTCCTGGGGGCAGGTTGGTTGGGTCCCACCCGAAATCCTGGGTGTCATCGCCCAGCAGGAGCCACTTGTCCTTGTCCTCATCGTCAGGCACAATGGACAACCCGTGCTGTTCCGCTGTGTGGCCAATGTATTGTGACATGGCGATCTCGACGCGGTCTAGCTCGTCGTCGGAGTTCTCTTCTCCCTTGTCGACGGCCTCGAGAATGATGTCGGATTCGTCGACCGTGGCCCCCCGCATCTCGATGGTCATGGCATTGTAGGACTCGTCCTCAGCCACTTTCATCCAGGCGGCCACGTCGGCGTCGATCTCCTCGCCCTCCTGGTCATGGGACCAGTCGGGCCTCTCCTCCATTGCAGCATACTCGTGGAGTGCTTTGGCCAGCTTCAAACATGTGGGCCAGCCAAACAGCACAGGATCCACCGGTTCTCCTTTCACATAGGGTTCAACGCTCCCGATAGCCGGGAGAGCACACCTGATCCGTTGGGCCAACAGTTGCGTGTTGATTGCCGCATGAAGGAATTTCGACACAACCTTCCGGTTGGCATTGCTGTATGTCATATGCACGTCATCGTATCTGTGAGCCAGCAATGTCATGACCGACGGGTCGATCGAGTCGATCGCCTTGATGCGGGTCCCATCGTCGATGTCCCCATCTGCAAGGTGTCGAAGGCAGCCGTTCATAGCCTCATTGTAATCGGAAGTGAGGCCATAGTCCTCGGCGTCCGGGTTACTGATGAAAGTAATGTCCCGAATGCGTCCGAGCCCAACAGCCTCCTTGAAGAAGTCGAGCTGCTCAAACACGCGGGTCTTCTGAACCTTTGGCCATTCCGACGCGGCCTTCCGGCCCGCCTCCGTACGATTGAACCGTTTGTCATGGATCCATCTGCACCCCACGTACCCATAGTTGCCGAAGACATCGTTTCCTCCCCACGATACGTAAACCGAAATGGGAAGCTGTTTGATGCCCTTCTTGGAGTTGTCCTCGGCGATGAATCGCACTTTGGCCTCCATGGTGCTATAAATAGCGTCAAGCCCTTTTCCCCA